AAAAACGTGACAAGCACGAAGTAGAATGGAAGCTTATATTCCCCAAATCAGAACCTTAGATAAAATAGCGCCTCATAAGTTGTAGTTTCTTGTATATTAAGTGGCGCCCGATCGCACATGAACTTTGAGAAATTAGATTAGCAGGTAAATAATTTAACATGAAATTTCGTACATACTCTACAAACTGAGATTTGGGAAGTTAAGAGAGCTTTTTTCACAAGCTCTTAAAATTAATACGAGATACTTTTAATAGAATACATTTCAAAACTATCAGTAATTCTTGTACCCTAACTTAATAATTCTAGGCAACTAAAAAAGATTTGAGAACCAAGAGTGGAGTTATTCTCAGCCTTATGAGTATGCTTCACGATATTATCGCGCCTTGCGCCCCACAACGTTTTTAAATCCAAAATGGACTGCAGGTTTGATCAATCCTAGGTCCTATCAGCATCTTTAAACGAGATTCAAAGCCAGACCGTGCTCAACGTATCGACATTTTACCACTCTGCTTCAGCCAATGGCGCTAGCGGCCCGCTGGGCAAATGTAAATAAAATCTGCCTGGCCTCAGACGGAGCACATCACTAGTGGGATTGCCTGTGGCGCAGACATCACGATTGACGTCACCTTTTATGCTATGAAGGTGGCTGTATCGGAATGGTAGCATGTTGCCACAGTGCCCACACTGAGAATTCAGATCCCATTTGGAATGTCGAAGAGGTCTAGACGAGATCGGAGCATGAGTCAATCTTGAAGTAGGAAACCCTTCATGAAACTAGAGCCTACTTATATGTTGATAGGTAAACTCGACTAAAAATACTCGAACCACTGAGATAACTAGGATAAATCATTATTTGACCCACGATGCTCAAAAGAATTACTATATGAACAGCCGAAAATGGAAAGGCTCAAGAAATAAGGAAATGATTCACGAAAATACAAGATTAACAGACCTATAGAAGCGGTTGTAAATGAGCACCAACATGTAGATAACGGTAAATATTATAATAGCATTCAAGTTACGAGCAATTACCTCGAGTAAGAGGTTAATTGATTTACTGATTGAGAGGGCAAAGCCCAAAGCACGATGAAGACACGCTGCACAAAAGATCTGATCAGAAAGAACCCCAGACCTTAAAAGGCCACAAACTCACGTACTCGGCGTATTGGGCCTCCGTAATCAGGTCCTGAATTGACATCCTGTCGCAAAGAATAAATATCAGAGGCCCGGCAAAATAAAAACAACTGATAAAATAAATGCAGGAACCAGGCCAGTCTGCATCCTCTCAGACGACACGGAAGGCATCCTTAAGGCCCCATTATGCCAAAAGCCGCCTATCCACCCACCCAACTTTGGGATCGCATTAAATGTGCCCAGCCAGTAAACCTTAATAACCTTTGAAGTGCCAGCAACGCAAATTCACGCCTTCGTCGAATTAGTAGTGTAAGCAAATGGGCTGGACTAAGGTCACCTGAAAGCATACAGGGGACCAACGAACAGGGGGTTCCCCGCGGCCAAAAACGCCAAAGAAGTGCATCTGCCCTCAATCCGACCCTGCAAAGCACGAGCCCGCAGAGAATAAAGCTAAAACGATAGTTTACACATCGACCGTCCCCCGAGGTCAGCCTCAACCCAGAGATAATTCAAAGAGCGAGAGTAAACAGCAGGGCTGTAGGCAATGTTACGACTGATAGAGGCGCCAAACAGCTAACGGAAAATCATGTGAGATCACTTCTAACAAACAAAATGTAAAAGGATGTACAAACTGATTTAAAGGAACTGCGAAATCGAAGAGATGGGCGAATTGGTACTGAGTAAAGTCGTCAACCCCAATCCACTGACGAACCAATTTAAGATTATAAAATGGCTAGGACCTAATCCCGAACACAACCATGGAGGTCTGACGATCAAGGCACTTAGCCGCCAAAAGCTAATAGATAAACTTATAAATATACAAGCTGTGCTCACAGCTCCTAAGCTCTATCAAAAGCCCTGTGTGCCAACATCAAGTAAGCCACTATTCGCAGACTGAAGCAGAAAGATCAAGGACAAACACTGTACAAAATGCATTTATTAAGTTTTTATACAATGCCAGAGCGGCGTGTTGAGCTGCTGCGATTTGACGAATTGTACAAATTTTATGATGGTATAATGGGTCAGAAACAAGCCGACAGTAAAGTAAAAAAATGATAGATAACACAGCTACATCGGTCAAAAAGTCGCCAAATACTGCTACATGCGGAGTAATGCATAAAACCAATAATTTGGGGACCGACGTAGACAGTGCAACGGTTGTATATGGTACAAAGGGATATTTAATATACACATGGGAGATAATAGAAAAGAACAAGAATCAGAGCCACTGTCTGCGAACATCGAATTATAAGAATACGCTTAAACAATAGTCTAGTATCACCAAAAATGTATCCTAGTCCATAAATAGGACGAAAGTAGCTCTTTAACCTGATGTCAGCACACGTGGCTTTCACAATAAAGACAAATACCTATACATAAAGATGTCCAACATAACCATAGTAGAAGTGGTGTGGGATTTGTTTCGGTAGGACACAACTGAATAGAGGTAATAAAACGAATGGGCGGTCTAAAACAAGCGGTGATTCCACGTATGGTTATTATACCATGAAATCAGTTAAAAAGCAGCACTTAAGGAAAGTAGGGAAAGGAAAACTATTTGATACTGCACATGTCAAGAAAATGTAAGGACTGAGGTTGCATGAAGCTCAAGACAAGATATGAAACCAAAAGGCCAAGAAAGAGCGCGTGCGAATGGAAGAATGGGGCTTATCTAGACTCACTATCCGACTTCGAGTCCGAAGAATCCGATTCACTGGAATCTGAAGTTGATTCAGAATCGCTGGAGCTTGAGGATTCGCTGAGGCTATTCTTGTCTAAAATATAATAAAAGAATTAATATAAAACAAAACGAAAAGAAGAAACAAAAGCACGAAATACTCACTTGACTTTTTGGACTGATGAATGTTAGTAAAACCACCCTGAGAAACAGGAGCGCCATTTATTTCTCGAAGACGAGTTTCCAGTTCCTCTTTGCGCACCTTCATTGACTCCTCTCGAGTTTTGCCAGCATTAGCGTTACTCGGAACTTTTTTGACATACTTCCGGTTGTTTGCCTTCAATTTCTGAAGGACTGACTTTACGTATTTTTCCAGTTCTCTCAAAGTGGAATGCTGCAAGGTCTCGAAATCTATTTCAATTTCGTCGGGGTTACAGTCTCTGTGAGAAGGCTCTCGCTCTTGAATTATTTGGACAACTCTCCCTAACTTTTCGCCCGGGAGCTTGTTGATATCCAGACTTAGTTGTCGCTTCTCATCATAAGTCATGGGACGGACATTATTCTCGGCGTGGATCTCCTCATCGGTTCCATACCCGGGAATAGGGAGACCGGGATGGACGGGATTAGCGCTAAGTGCGTGAGGCGGGTGGGGTGCGATGGATGAAACAGGAAGCTGTCCAACACCTTGTAAGTTGTTAGAAGCTACGGGAATAGTGGATGAACTGTGAGTACCTTGACGACGCTTTCCTTTTGGTTGGGGCTGCTTCGCTTTTCTCATGACGCTGGGTTCCTCGTAGGATTCAGTAATGCGAGGAACAGAAGCGGCCAGACTAGCTTGAGGATTGGTCCCAAGGGGAGTTGACTGGAAGGGGGCAGGAGGAGCTAAAAGAAATAAGTAGTAAGTAAAAACAAACCTTTCTTTGCAGATCTAGCGATCGTCTGTTCAGGCATATT